GGGACCAGGACTGGGATCAGCACCGGGATCAGGACTGGGATCAAACCAGCACCTCGGGAGGGATTTCGGGGGCTCCAGGACAGAGCCTGGCACAGCTGCCGCCCTCGGGGTTCCAAACCCACGAATCGCCACCTCCAGCAGCCGGAGGGATTCCACCCAGCAGGGATTTCTCCTGGAACCCGGCTCCGGCCTCGGGACAGCGGGCAGGAAGGAGCGGAGCCGAGCTCGACCCGTGCCTGTACCTCGGTCAGCGAAGACGCGCACGATGTCGCCGGGGACATGGAACTCCTCCACCCGGCAGGACTGCGGCTCGCCCGGCCGGGCCAGCGTCCTCCTCTTGTGGAAGATCCTCCAGAGCACGGGCGGCACCGGGCCGGGGCTGCTGGGGCTGGGCTTGGCGCTCAGCCCCAGCGAGCGGAGCAGGATGCGCTCCTGCGGGCCGGGCGCGGCCGCCAGCACGGGGCTCAGGAGAGCCCAGGCGAGGCTGCGGAGGAGCCACATCGCCGCTCTGCTCGGCCGCACAAAGAGCACAAAGAGCCTTTGATGGGCTCCGAGCTCAATCAGCGCCGCGGGGTTCCGGCTCCGGCCAGAGGCTGGCATGGATCCCTGCGGCTCCCGCACCCCTTAACCCTTTCAGCGGCTCCGCCGGCGCTCCCGCACCTCCGGAGCGCCCGCTCGGGCTCCAGCACGCTCCGTGGGTCAGGGGTGGGGGTGGAAATCCAGCGCTGCTGCCCAAAGCCCTGCCCGGAGCCGGGGGCACACCCGCAGCCGGCTCTTCCTCCCAAAAAAATTCCCTTTTTTAACTCAATCACGGCGTCCAGCCCTTCTCTCTTAAAGCCGTCAACCTCCAGCGCATCAAACCATCAAAGTCCTGCTTCACACGGCCCCAAAAACCATCGGCCCCAAAAAACCACTGACCCCCAAAACCACCAGTCCCCACCCAGCGCCGGGTCCTGCCCCAGCCAGGCACCCCCAGGTGCCCCAGTCCCTTCCTGGCCATCACAGCAGAGCTGACACCACCAGCTTGGTGTCACAGCCCCCAAAAACAGCCGGAGCCACCCAGCGCAATGCCAGCGCTGGAAAATTCAGTTTTAACCCCCAAGGTCAGCCCAGCTCTGCTCCGGCCCATCCTGGGGGATCAGACCCCGCTGAAAACTGAGGGATTCCAGCCCTGGGATGCTCCTCTGACATCCTGGAAGTCACGGGGGAGGGACAAGGTCCTGTCACAGCTTGGGGACACTCCCAGCAGCCCCACTCAGGGTCTGTCCCTGGCTCAGACACAACAAGTCTGGAGGGAAATCACCTCCAGACCAAACATGGAATAAATCCCGCAAATTCCCACACCTGGAATTGACACCCTGGATCTCCCTGCAGCTGCTCGGGAGGGAGCTGTGGGTCCTGGCCTGGGGGGACAGCGAGGGGACAGCGAGGGGACAGCGAGGG